TTACCATCAATAAAGAATGGCCCTATGATTCGATTATTCACTATTCCAGCCCTAACATTCAACTTCTGCGGATATTGCGATTTATCTTCTCGCATCCAGTGTGGATTTTCCGCAGCCCAGTACCTGCAATTATGTCGATTTAATGTTCCGTCAAGTTGAAAAGTTGCTTCATCAGAGAAAACTATGTTTGATGGAAGATTTGGATTTTCAATTATGCGTGCCATCATATCTTCACAAAACTCAACACGACGATCGAAATCGTCTTCATTCAACTTGTGAACCAGGTGTACGTTAAACGGATGGAATTTTGCTGTTTTTAAAATGATATGTACGGACGATGTACTTATGTCATGCTCTTGAGCAACTCTGCGGATGGAATTATGTGGATTTTCAGTGAATGATAATAGAACATTTAATAAATTCTCTTCATTTGTTGCTGAGCGTGGTCTGCCTGACTTAGGTAGATTTCTGACATGGCCAAAATTTACAAACCTTGAAATAGTATTCTGAACAGTAGACACAGCAATTGGAGTTCTATTAACCCGAAATGTCTCATTAAAAAGATTTCTCACTGCCCTGTAAGATCTTTCTACTCCACCCCAGCCTCTCATCATAAGAAGTGATATTCTTTCTCGTTCAGTGAGGCATTCCATTTTAAGTCAGCGAATCGAAATTTACTTAAAAATCAATCAGAATTAAAAACAAAAAGTTTGCAACCCAAATAAATGTTTTCAAAAAATGAAAATTATAATTTGAGTACTTTTACAAAAAAGTTCTACTACAGTCCGACTAATGCACTAATGCTTTATGGAGATTTTCGAATGGTAAAATCTTTTCAAATATGTTGCTTTTTTAAATATTAATTTTTGAAAATGCAATTGTCCCGAAGAATAAGCTCAAAATGATAAAGTTAGGCATAGTACATTTCCTAAGGATAGAACCAAGTGAAATTGTTAGTGGATTATCAATGAATAGGTATGGGATAGTAACCTTAAAAAGTTTAACCGGCTCATCAAGTTATTAAGAAAATAAGCGTAAAAAAACATTGTTGATAGGCGAGGGGAACTCACGAAAATCAAGCATCCCGATCGTGAGAGGCGAGGGGAACTCACGAAAATAAAGCACCCCAAAGGGACAGATTTTACTACGTCCACGTCGTTGTTCCTGGGTAACGCTAAAAGTAAAAAAAATTGATCTTGAAAAAACCTTGATAATGAGGTTGAAGGTTAAATTCAAGGTCACGGATCTCCGATGGGCAATTACTAAATAAATACTCTTCTCCATTATGAAAAAAACTTTAAAAAATTTTAGGGCGTCTTTAAGTTTGGATGGCCTTCGACTGATCTTAAACTTTAAGTTCGCCCTTGACTTATGATCTAAGTAGATATTTGGATGTGAAATTTTCCGCTCTTTCGATTGTCGCTGTCGAAAATGGGGGTTTCCATGACCTTTATTTGCTTCCTTGTACCACTAAAATCCCGGTACTATTACAAAGCCACAGTTTGACCTTCATCTGACCCCTAGAGGTCACATTAACCTCAAACCTCAACTCATCCATACGTGAGTCTTCACTTTTTTCGATTCCGCCATAAAAAATAGGGGTACCCATTAAAAAAAATGAGGTTGACCTCAAAATAACCTTGAAAATGAGGTTCAAGGACAAATTAAAGAGCACCGTTGAAAGTTACCTGGGGTTATCCTTTTGTTTGTTTTGTTTAACCACTGAATTCGCGAGATTTTTAAGAATTCTTACTTTGACCTCTAGTTGACCTCTAGGGGTTACCTCAACCTCATACCTCAATACATATCTGGACGTAAAATTTTTCGCTCTTTCCGATTCCGCCATAAAAAATAGGGGTTTCCATTTAAAAAAATGAGGTTGACTTCAAAATAACCTTGAAAATGAGGTTCAAGGTCAAATCCAAGGTTACCATCGGATTCCTCGTAAAAAGTTACTTCAAGAACAGCCTTCACCCGGTTAAAAAAATAACCGGCTTAGAAAATTTCTCAGGTGTATCGTTACTTTTTGGACACCCTGTATGTATGTATTAAAAAATTTGGCTAACATTGTGATAAACTTTTCGGCAAAGAATATAAACTTTCTTATAATGTAAGTTGTAATGATGAACGTTATATTCGCGCACTCATGTCGTCGGTGTGACTGCCCGCGGGGGCAACACCTGCTGGCTATGAAGTTAGAGCATGCGTTGCGTACGCGTTGATGTACATAAGAGAAACCGGCCTTGTTCACGAACCACTCTAGTTCCGAACTCTCGAACTTCGACGTCGGACGAACACAGAAGCTATTGTTTGTGTTATCTCCTTAAAAAAAAGAAAGGTATCCTGAGCGAGCTCCAGACGCGAGAAACTGAGCACACTGAGAACAGCCACCTTTAAATATACCAGCCGTCATAGGAAGCGCAGGAGTACCCTTCTTTCGTGATTGAAAAAACCTGAGCGACGGCGAAAACGTGGATATTGCGAGGCAACCTGGCCAGCTTTGCACAATACAGGCGTGTGATCCGTAATCGTCTTACGTGTGTCATACAAGGTATAACCCGAAATGGATCGCCAGCCGATCTCACGCAAATTCGGAAACCGCGACGGCTTAATTGTGCGCGAGTTATAATACATCCGTAGACAAACGATCGCAGCGTGCACGTGGCCGCGAACAAGATGGTGGCATTTGCATCTGTCACGTGCTAGTAATTATTATCACTGCGCAGGCCTTAATTTATAAATGAATCGTAGAATAATAAAAAATACCGTTGTGATAATTAAGAACGACTTATGTCAATCATTGACTGACCCTTCAGAAGCGCCCATTGTCATACTCGTATGTTCGTTTCTGCCTTCGCTTTTGCGTCCATTTTCAGTTAGCGGAATTTAGCTGTACTTCAGAGCGAGGCTGAAGCTGCCCAGTAAAAGTAACGGCAGCAATAAACGGGGACTTCACCCGGAAGTAAGGGCACACGCCCAAGATAAAGTCGCGGTACAAGGTTCGACGCAAAGGAAGCCTTTGCGATTGCCACAGAAGGCAGCCCTGAGTAAGCGCACGGAGCGCCGCTCAAGTGTGCACCATTGCGCACAGCACGGCAACGCTTGCGCAACCCGCGCTGATGCATACGCATATGTAACTCCGTTATAAATTATTTATAAATTTAACAAATTATGTAGATTTGAATATCAGTATAATAGAGTATAAATCAGTAACTTGACATAAACGTGCAATATTTTTTTATATTCTTATACTTTAAGAAACTGAATGCAGGCTTAGGACTATACAGTAAACAAGCATTTATAGCTATGCATCACGATTTTAATGTAACATAGGCTAAATATAAAGTTAAGTTTAACCATCTTAATTATGAGCTTGATAAACTGAATTATTATAGGTTGATTAATATAATTTATATTATTTATAAATATTCTATAAATAATCATAGTACGTTAACCAATATTTCGATTTTTTTATTATTATTGTTCATGAACGTTATGTATTTATAAAGCAATAACGATATATTAATTACAAAGTTAAATATAAATACTATTTAAAATTTTCTCATTAATAAGATTACGTTCTTTGTGTGGGGAATGGATATTAAAAAAATATCAAGTGAACTAGAAAATAATAACTTTACATCAAATATATATTTTTGTCATTATTCATTCTAAAAATAAAAAATATTATACTTAATTAAAGAAGAGACGACCAATCTTAAAAAAAAATCGCATGTGACAGGGCTATAGCGATGCTCGCTGGCCCTGTGTGCGGCACTCTCCTCGCGTGAACGCAGCGACCAAGTGTACGCTATATAACGACTACATACTTGTGTCGTTGCAGGATCTGGAGAGAGGAGCGCAACGATCGGCGAGGTGTCGCCGTGAGTGCGAGTGAGAGCGAGAAGAGCGAGAGAGAGAGAGAGAAAGACTACAACATTATCCTGCTTAATTAAACAACTACGAACAATTGCGCAAAATTTTTTTGGGCCTCTTTTAGTGCTACATATTCCCGTACCTGGCGCAGCACTGTGATTGGCTACCGCCAGCGTGCAGTGCCTTGGGTCAGCTACTCCCGAAAGCGTGCAGTGCCGTAGGTTCGACTGTAGTACATATTTATTATAATGCTAAAATTATCGTTTTAATCAATATTGAAATACATGAGTATACATGGAGAAATACATGGAGTGTATATATACTGAAGTACCTGAAGGGGCCCATATTAACAAATTTTAATGGGTGATTTGAATTCATTTAATTGTCTTCAATTTTGTCTCCAATTTTCGCCAACAATTACTACGCACGTATAAATGCTGTGTGTATGTACGAGTACCAGGCATGCCCTGTGCGGTTTTCTGAGGAATTTCATTGTGATGCTAGTGTGCACTGATAATTTTCGACATAATTCGCATATTTGGTTTTGAATCGACGTGGATTCAGATATGATCAAATTTCAACGACTTTTTATACAATTTGATCTTAAAATACTTTTGAACCTACTATGCTAGGATTAAACTGATGATGGATTTCGATTGAGTGTGTCAAAATACACGAGGAAATATTTTTATTGTTTTTGATACAGATTACTTTTTCCTTTGTATCACTGTGTTTTATGTATATTCATAAATATAAAATATATGAAATTATCGATTTCTTCTTAACTATCAATTTTTATCTTTTCTAAAAGATGTATGATATTGTCATTATTACTCAAGACTATAAACATGTAGAAAACTACGTTTTTTAAAACTTCTGGTTCGAATCAGTTTGATACTCGTAAATCAACTTTACCATTTATGTTGTATAAGAATATCTATATGCTTGAAAATATACAGTTTTCAATTTTAAGTTCTATTTTTGAAATTAATATAATTAATTATTCGAACACAATTTAAAATTACTTTAAGCTAGCGTAGTAAATTTTAGCAACTAAATATTCTTTGTATTTAAAATAAAAATAACCAATTTTATGAATTCAAAATATTTTTTTCATGATCCAGACAAAAATTTTTGCACAAACAACTCGTGAGATTCCAGAATGGATTACAGTAATGAAACAATTCAAAGATTTGAAATGTGCTTCATTTCTATTTGTCGCTTGGTTTATGGGATTTGGCATAGGACTTATATTTACATTCTTATTTTGGCATCTTCAAGATTATGGAGGAACACCTACGCTATTTGGCGTAGCATCAGTCATAAATCATATTTCTGAAATATTTGCTTACTTCTTCAGTTTCAAACTTATTCGTCAAATGGGACATGTTAAGGTAATAAATTTTGTTTGACGTAAACGTGATTTTCCTCATTTATAAAAAATTTTGTGTGATTATAGGTATTATGTCTTGGGTTGGGAGGTAATGTTTTACGGTTTCTTTATATATCTTGGTTAAAAAATCCATGGTGGGTTTTACCATTCGAATTCATGCAAGGCATCACACATGCTGCCGTATGGGCTGCGTGTTGTAGTTATATTGCTCACAATACTCCAATGCCATTACGACCAAGCGCACAGGGAGTACTGCAAGGATTGCACCATGGACTAGGTCGTGGATGCGGTGCTGTTATCGGGGGATTATTCGTAGCCTTGTATGGTGAGTATAATAAAAAGGCTACAAAATTATTTATAGTGAATTTTCTTTGCAATATACGGGGTGTCCCACGTTAACTTGGATAGCAGGGTACCCCAAAACTTTTCAAAATATTCGAAAAATGTTTCAAATAAAAGTTGTGTGGTTCAAAGGAGTTCAACTCAGGATGACCTCAAACTTAACCTTGAACTTTAGTTTCAAGGTCACTTCAAGTTCAACTTTGTTTTTTTAAATCCGAATCCAGGCTCAAAAAAAGGGACCCCTATTTTTGAACCTGGATTCGGATAGAGCGGGAAATTCTACCTTTATATGATATATTATGCGTGGAATCCGGAAGACCATTCAAGATCATTTCAAGGTCAACTATGTTTTTTGAGCTTGCATACTGTGATATAAGTCATTTTTACTACATTGCAAACGTGTGTTGGGCTGTTTGTTGGTTCGCTTTGACCTAAGCAGCCGAGGGGTCTAACTCACAACTGGCTGCTTACCTCAGTAACAAGTAACTCACTAGCGCAAAATCCCTCAAGTTAAGTTTAGCACTTAAGCCTTCCCACTAGCTACAAGGTCTTATAGCCCCTAGGAAAAGTTGTGTGTGTGCATCGATATATGATTTATCTAAGTACGGCAAGATCATGTAGAGATCCAACCAATCAAGGCAACATTGTGTATAGATCCAATCAGTCAAGGCAAGATCTTGTAAATATACACAAATTTAATTATAAATTAAATGTTCAAGTTAAGTGTCCACCATTATTCTCCAAATACAACTGTAATAGCCGGCGAAAGTTTTGCTGCACAATTGTAAATATTTCAGGAGTTATCGCTCCACAAAACCCTTCTAATTGTATTCATCATATCCAATGGTGTTCTTGAAGGTTCATTAAGAACAAAATTTTTTACATATCCCCACAAAAAGAAATCATGGAGCTCAAATCCGATTACTTAGGAGGCTACGCTATTGGTCCAGCCCGCCCTATCCATCGATCTGGAAAATGCTGATTTAAAAACGCTCGTACGATACGAGGATAGTGAGCAGGAGCACCATCTTGTTGAAACCATAAATTTAATCTAAATGCAAGTAAAATATTCTCAAAGTATCCTGACAAATTATTCTGAAGAAATGCAAAATAGATTATTGGACCATCAATAATCCGTTTAAATGTTATACCTATTCAAACTCCCATTACTATTGAATGTAGCTTCATTGCTGTGACAAACATTCCAAAAGAAATCGGTATTTTCATCCAACATGTCAAGAGCCCACCACCAAAATTGTATCCTGAGTACATGATCTTCAGGGCTTGATTCGTGTACTAAATTAATGTAAGAAGGATGGTATCGTACAGATCTTAATAATCTATGAGCTGTAGTTCTGGTGATTCCTTTTTGGCTTTTCAATTTGCCGCATACTAATATGTGGATGTATAAACGTTAGAATGGTAAGTAACCTCGGATCGTTATTATTTTGGAGTCTATTTCTTCATCTTCGATGATGCAGTGGATTATTCCGTGATCTTCTTTTAATGTTTATCACTTCTTGATGGGAAGAATGGTGCCGGTTGGAATATTTTTCGGCGTAGGTCAGTACAGTGAGTCTGTCATTCCTATTGCATTCACCTGTCCTCATGAGTATGTCAACTACTTCATTGGGAGTGTAGTTAGCCATTCTGCATACATACAGAAGCATTCTATAACATAAATTGATTTTAGTAATTCTGTATGAATAGTAATCAATAAAACATACTTATCCTGGAAATACCGTAAATTGCGACACTTAACACAAAACTCTTGAGTAATTATGCAGGCATTCGATCGACGTATCTTGAAGATACTAAACTCATAAGGTCCTCTAATACATAGAGAACTCTGGAATTGGAAAATTGTTTGTCTAAATCATACGCAAGTGAAAGATTTTTTAATTGATAAATTTTGTAATAATGGAAAGAAGGGAAATAGTGAGATATGGAAATCCACTTAATTTGAATTATATTCAGCAACGTTTCGTCAGTACTGTTCAGGCTTTATTAACAGAAAAACAACAAATTATTAACATATGACAGGGTTGATAGCGATGTTCGCTAGCCCTGTGCGCGGCACTCTCCTCGCACGGATGTAGCGGTCGAGCGTGGCTATGGGTGACATAGCATTCACGCGCTTGTGTCGTTGTAGGACCTGGAGAGGGGAGAGCGCGGCCAGCAGAGAAGAACGCGAAAGGGAGCGAGAGCACGAAGAGCAAACGAGGAGAGGAGCAAACGAGAACGCGGAAACCGCGGTTCGCGTCGCGAGAATTAGGAGAGCGCTGGAAGTATTGAGAGCAGTGGAAGACTGACCGTACGTTAATCAGGTCACGGCACGAGATAAGTTAGACGACGCGCCAAGGGAAAGCAAGTCCAGGACGAGCAAGAGAGAGTCGTTGTGTGTCGAATCTTCGGCTCCTGTTGAGCAGCCCCCACAGTGATTAAGATTAGACGTTCGAGAAGCCGATCCCGGCCGCCAGCTGCCAACCAGCTGTCGCCGGTAGTCCAGCGATCACCGCTACTAGCAGGACTGCGATTTCGGCGACGCCGCCTCTCTACCAGCGAGTCGCGGGAGGAAATACCCGGTGGGTCTGATTCTGTTTGTTCTGCGCTCTCCCTCTCTGACGTGCCAGCTCTCGTGCGGCGCAACGCCGCGAATTGAATTTTCGCGCGTGCTAGTTGAGCGAATCCGCTCCTAAAGTATTGTGCACTTGTCGCGTACGATAGTTGAGCTACTACGCTCCTATTCCCCGCCTACTGTCGCGTTCCGTGGATTAAGCGAGCGCGCTCACAATCGTGATTTGTAAGATTCCGTAGTTGTAATTTCGTTGGCGTAAGTAAAGGGATCGCCTTTCTGTATTTATTTGATTTCTTCTATTCACCTTTTTCGTTATCGCGGTAGATTCGCGCCCGCGGAAGTTAGCGCCGGCTTTCTTTACCGAAAAAGGACCCTTAAATAACTCACAGGAGGCACAGTAGTAGCGCACTCAGCAGTGGCGAGAGCGGTTGGTCGAAATCGCGTTTTCTTTGTGTCAGAGGCGGTGCGGTACTTTGGTTGACCTCTACATTTTTGGCGAGTTCGCTGAGCGGCGGTTAAGTACCGCTGAGACGCTGACAGGATCTAGGATTATATTTTAAAAGTGAAATTTCTTTGTCATTATGTCGTCAACACGCTAGGCTCAAGTTACGCCAGAGTCCGAACGTTCCGAGAAGGGCAACAGCAAGAGTCGCTTTGGTTACATTGCGCGATTAGCGCTAGTAATTTGAAATTGAGTCTGGAGTTCGAGGCGACGAGGCGAGCCTGGTGTTTTGGCTAATGTGCATGATTTGTGAGTATTGTGGATGTCTGTATTGTGCGATTAAAGCGTGTGATTTGTATCATTGCCTCTGGCCGCATGGATTTAAGTTTACGTGGTCTAAGCGATCTGTCGAGCGGCGACCAAGATTTTGTGTTGCGTGTTCGCACCAAACTCATCGCTGCTAAGAGACTTAGTGTGCTCGCGGATAACTGTTGCGAGTCGCACAACAAATTATCAGCGGGTTTGTACACTGGACTAGGTGTATAAGACGATGCCTCTAGCAAGGTCACCGAAAAAGCCGAAGCCAGGCGAGTCGCGCGCGCGACCGAAAACCTTTAGGCGACGAGTTATGAAGACGCCGGAGATAAAGGAATTATGGGAGCGCGTGTTAGAGACATGTTTAAACGATCTGCTAATATGGATGGCGGCCCGGGGCCTAGCGACAGAGGGAACAACAGCAACCATGCAGGATAGGGCATTTCGCGTATTTCTATTTAGCGGTCGGGGACTTGGTTTTGAGACGCGCGCATAAGTTGTCAAGCGTGAGCGCGAGTAGAAATGCCAAATTGGATCCGAGATTCATATGTCCGTATAAGATTTTGCGTGTAGTTTCACCAGGAGTTTACATTTTAACCACGGATAATAAGAAGCAGGTGACAATGGCTCACATGTCTGAACTTAAGAGGTACGAGGTGTGTTCAAAAAATAACGAGAATTTTCGTTTTATGAAAAAAATATTTATTTATTCATCTACATTAATGTTGTCGCCTTCAAAGTAGTCCCCTTCGGATACAATACACTTATGCCAACGCTTTTTCCAATCCTCGAAACACTTTTGAAACTCGATCTTTGTAATAGCTTTTAGCTCTTTCAGCGATTCGCTTTTAATGTCATCTATGCTTGTAAAACGACGACCTTTTAATGTTCTCTTTATTTTTGGAAATAGAAAAAAGTCACATGGAGCCATATCTGGCGAATATGGAGGCTGAGACATCGTTACAGTTTCGTTTTTGGCCAAAAATTCACGAACAAGCAATGATGTGTGAGCAGGCGCATTATCGTGGTGCAAAAGCCATGAATTGTTTTGCCACAAATCCGGGCGTTTTTTTCGGATTGCTTCACGCAAACGACGTTGAACTTGTAGGTAGTACTGCTTATTGATTGTTTGACCTTGTGGCAAGAATTCATAATGCACTATGCCATTAAAATCGAAGAACACAGTGAGCATAACCTTCACATTCGACCGCACTTGTCGAGCCTTTTTCGGTCTTGGCGATCCAGAATGCCTCCACTGGGACGATTGAGCCTTAGTTTCGACATCATATCCGTAAACCCATGTTTCGTCACCTGTTATAACACGTTTTAGTAGTTCTGCATCGTTATTGACTTCATTTAGCGACTCCTGAGCAACTTCCATTCGCCGCTGTTTTTGTTCGAAATTCAACAATTTTGGAACGAATTTTGCTGCCACACGTTTCATACCCAAAACATTCGAAAAAATTTAATTGCATGAGCCAACTGATATGCCAACATCATCAGCGACTTCTCTGATTGTGATTCGGCGATCGTTCATAACCATTTCTTTCACTTTTTTCACGTTTTCATCGGTTGTTGATGTGCTTGGGCGTCCGGGTCGTTCGTCATCTTCAACGTTTTCGTGGCCATCTTGGAAACGCTTATACCA